GCAGACTTCTCATTCTTCCTACTATGTTTCTTAATATCTTCCTCTCACTCAAACAAATGAGGGAAAGCACGATTTAGGTGTACCTGAGGCATATATATATATATATATATATATATAACTATGTATGTGTGTGTGTTTAGGGTCGTGTGTCTCGGCCGGTTGGTTGGCACTCACGGTATAAGATCCCTCAAGTTGGGGGTGTTCAAATCCCCTCTGGCACGAAAAAATATTACATCAATACTACGCACGTAGAGTAACGAGCGTAGCCAATGAAATCACGTCACGACACCTCACGCGACAGGAAAAAAAACGGAAACGGCGCGGTAACACAGAGAATATTCCCGCATGTGTTATTGTGTTATTTTTGTGTTACTGATGTGTTATTGTGTTATTATAACACCACAAATATTCTAATGACACAATAACACATGAATAACACACAATAACACCAGAATAACACGAGAAATATTCCCGACAGAAAAAAACGGCGCGATAACACGAGGAATATTCCCCCGTGTTATTCATGTGTTATTGTGTGTTATTCATGTGTTATTGATGTATTATTGTGTTATTATAACACCAGGAATATTCTCAAGACACAATAACACATGAATAACACAATAACATATGAATAACACAAGGGGGAATATTCTCCGTGTTACTGCGCCGCTTTTTTTCTGTCGCGTTGGGTGTCCTGGTGTGATTTTATTGGCTACGCACGTCACTCTGCGTGCGTAGTACTGATGTAATATTTTTTCCTCTGGCACAGTTGGCCTTAAGGAAGTGGTACTCGAATTGTTTGGCACATTATGGGTTGCTGGAGGCTCATATAATAGTCTCTGGTCATTCCTTTCAACAATATTTTTTTTTTAGGAAAAACTCAAGGGCTGATTTTATTGAAAAAGAAAAGATGCATAAAGATTGTATGAGGACCCAATAGAGGCAGCCTACCTATACGATACAAAATATAGTAATACCCCAACAAAAAAGATACAGATGAACTTAAAAAAAAAATTAAAACATGTAGAAAACAAGTAGCTAGGGACGAGTCAGTTTAGTCTCGCTTCTTCCTCTAGTTTTAAGAGCTGAGTCAGATAACAAACTTTGAAATGTCGTGTCATTGCTAGAAGTAACCAAAGTATCATCCATTAAGTTTCCAAGTTGGAGTGTGCCCCCAGCCTTCTTCTTCCGCCGAGAAGTGTAAACCTGTTATTTTTCATCTGAAGACTGACTCATGTGATCTTCGGTCTAATTAGATATTAGAACTGCAGTAAAAGGAAAGGAAGTCGTTGTCACAGCGATAGGTTCCGGCGTATGTGAAGTATGAATTGTCACCTTTGTACCTGATGCTTGTTGAATAAGAGCTGCAGGGCTATCCTAATTTTCGATCCGAACAATATCCCTTATAGTATGGTCAGGAGAAGGGTTCCCAGGGGCAGATATCAACTCTTGTCTTGTGGTAATTCCCTCCTCTCCCTCCTCAGTTTGGATGTCATCAGATTTGCTGGGAGCACATTCAAGCACATGCGGTGCCCTAACATCATGTTCCTGCTTTTGACTATTGGTTCTCAACTGTGGATGCAATCTGAAACATTTCTCTTGCTAGTGTCCAAACATCTTGCAGTAATTGCAATAGTAAGGTTTTTATTTCATAATAATTTTTTGTCAATAAGCATTGTGAGCAGAGCCAAGCTAGACTTCTTGTACATCTGGCAGTGTAATATCTCTTTCAATCAAAATTCTTGCAATTGAGGGCCTTGAGAAATGAATTGTAGGTATGTCTACCTACAAAGTTTTTCCAAAAATAGTATCAATGTGTTATTGTGTGTTATTCATGTGTTATTGATGTATTATTGTGTTATTATAACACCAGGAATATTCTCAGGACACAATAACACATGAATAACACAGGGGGGAATATTCCCCGTGTTAGTGCGCCGTTTTTTTTTTCTGTCGCGTTGGGTGTCCTGGTGTGATTTTATTGGCTACGCACGTCACTCTGCGTGCGTAGTACTGATGTAATATTTTTTCCTCTGGCACAGTTGGCCTTAAGGAAGTGGTACTCGAATTGTTTGGCACATTATGGGTTGCTGGAGGCTCATATAATAGTCTCTGGTCATTCCTTTCAACAATATTTTTTTTTTAGGAAAAACTCAAGGGCTGATTTTACATGAATAACACAGGGGGGAATATTCCCCGTGTTAGTGCGCCGTTTTTTTTTTCTGTCGCGTTGGGTGTCCTGGTGTGATTTTATTGGCTACGCACGTTACTCTGCGTGCGTAGTACTGATGTAATATTTTTTCCTCTGGCACAGTTGGCCTTAAGGAAGTGGTACTCGAATTGTTTGGCACATTATGGGTTGTTGGAGGCTCATATAATAGTCTCTGATCATTCCTTTCAACAATATTTTTTTTAGGAAAAGCACAAGGGCTGATTTAATTGAAAAAGAAAAGATGCATAAAGATTGTATGAGGACCCAATAGAGGCAGCCTACCTATACGATACAAAATATAGTAATACCCCAACAAAAAAGATACAGATGAACTTAAAAAAAAAATTAAAACATGTAGAAAACAAGTAGCTAGGGACGAGTCAGTTTAGTCTCGCTTCTTCCTCTAGTTTTAAGAGCTGAGCCAGATAACAAACTTTGAAATGTCGTGTCATTGCTAGAAGTAACCAAAGTATCATCCATTAAGTTTCCAAGTTGGAGTGTGCCCCCAGCCTTCTTCTTCCGCCGAGAAGTGTAAACCTGTTATTTTTCATCTGAAGACTGACTCATGTGATCTTCGGTCTAATTAGATATTAGAACTGCAGTAAAAGGAAAGGAAGTCGTTGTCACAGCGATAGGTTCCGGCGTATGTGAAGTATGAATTGTCACCTTTGTACCTGATGCTTGTTGAATAAGAGCTGCAGGGCTATCCTAATTTTCGATCCGAATAATATCCCTTATAGTATGGTCAGGAGAAGGGTTCCCAGGGGCAGATATCAACTCTTGTCTTGTGGTAATTCCCTCCTCTCCCTCCTCAGTTTGGATGTCATCAGATTTGCTGGGAGCACATTCAAGCACATGCGGTGCCCTAACAGCATGTTCCTGCTTTTGACTATTGGTTCTCAACTGTGGATGCAATCTGAAACATTTCTCTTGCTAGTGTCCAAACATCTTGCAGTAATTGCAATAGTAAGGTTTTTATTTCATAATAATTTTTTGTCAATAAGCATTGTGAGCAGAGCCAAGCTAGACTTCTTGTACATCTGGCAGTGTAATATCTCTTTCAATCAAAATTCTTGCAATTGAGGGCCTTGAGAAATGAATTGTAGGTATGTCTACCTACAAAGTTTTTCCAAAAATAGTAAGGTTTTTCAAGGATAGTCTCAATTGCATATATAATATAGGTAGGTCAAAAAATTAAAGCGTGAGTTCAAATAATGAGAACCAGATAGGTGCAATTAAAGCGTGAGTTCAAATAATGAGAACCAGATAGATGCAATTGGGGGTTCTTGACTGGGATCAAAATCAAGGGTCCATTTGAGTCCTAACACAGAAAAGTAAAATTTGGACGGTCTCCATATGACAGGGTTAAGGTTGGAAGCATGAAGTGTCTCTCTCCAAATGAATAAGCTAAACTTTGAGCATTAAACCCCAAAATTAAGAAAGCTTCATAAGTAAACTTTTTTATTTATTTGAACCATGCATATATTGTAGAAATTCTGGAAAGAATTTTATTTCTGACTAACCTTCATGCATTGCTTTGCTACATGTATATAATAAGGAAAGATACCAAATAGGAATCCCTCTAAAATAAGAAAAGAATAGAGAAAGGGAATTATCTAATAAAGAAAATATAATTAGTGAAATATTTTCTAAGGAGTTTCTTCATAATGTGGATTGGTAGTTTCCAATACTGCCTCTGAAGCTGGTTTGTATATATTATACAAACCAAACTTGGACTTCAACTCCCTTGGTAGTGCTTTGGTAAGGATATCAATAGAATAAAGTCATTTAGAAGCATAGTTGAGCTGAACAATATCAGTAGTCTAAAGTCATTTAGGAGCATAGTTTAGTTGAATAATTCTATTGTTAACCTTTTCTCAGATGAAGTAACGGTCAAACTCCATGTGTTTTGTTCTTTCATTATGCACTTGATTATTTGCTACACTAATAGTTGTTTGACTATCACAAAATATCATGATGGTGTCTTTCATCTCAATCTTAAGTTCCTTTAATAATTTTTGAATCTACATTCACTCATATATTACTAGTGAAAGAGCACGATATTCAGATTGAACACTACTCCAAGAGACAATAGCTAACCTTTTAACTTTTCCACATGATGAGATTGCCCCAAACAAATGAACAGTATTCAATGACTGATTTCCTATTAGTTACCTCTCTTACCCAGCTAGCATTTGTGTATATCTCAATTTCACGATTTTCAGTTCATATGAAGAGTAAATCATCTCAAATTATCATCTTCAAATATCACGAGATTCTGTTCACTGCTTTCAAATGATCCTTATTTGTATTGTTCATGTGCTAGCGTACTACACTGACTGAGTATACAATATCAATTCTTGTGTATGATAGGTAAAGTAGTTTGCCACAAGTCTTTGACATCTTCCTTTGTCAACAGGATTGTTTACTTCATTTTTGTTAGTCTTTTGTTGGAATACATGAGTGTGTCAACAAGTTTACCCCCAAACATATCAATTTCACTTGACAAGTCTAAGATGTACTTCCTTTGGGTAGGACAATTCTCTACTTAAATCGAGGCACCTCTATTCCCCAAAAATATTAGAGATCCCTGAGGTTCTTGATATCAAATTTTGTTGCAAGTAAACTTTTTTATTTTAATAATTTCTTTTGAATCATTGCCTATAAAGATAAATCTACATATATTATGAGAATAGCAATTTTGTCTCTATAATTGGAATTAACAAACAATGAATGATTAGCTTAACATTGACGATATCCATTCGAAATCACCATTTAAGTAAACCTGTCAAACCAAGTACAAGGAGATTGCTTCAAGCTGCAAATGGACTTCTGTAACTTGCAAACCAACATGTTGTTCAGCATATTTTCCAAGCATAGATATAGTCATGTAAGCTTCTTCATCAAGGTTTCCATTTGCAGCCTACAAAATTTTGTCCATACGATAACTCTGTAACTGAATATGTGTTACTCTTTTCCAGAAGCCCTAATTTCTTCCTATCGCATGTTTTCATGTCGGAACTTTTAGAGCCTCTTGGATAAAGTTGGGAATCTACACATTTTAAAGGTTTGTCACAAAAGCTCTGTAAAGTGGTAGAAACTTCTCATCTGCTAAATATCTTTCAATTTTATGACTAATGCACCATCGAATACCTGTCCTACGTGCAATTGGTTGAATAAAATTGTCAATCATTGATGTAAGAGAGTAATGAGCTGAGGAATCCAAACTGCCTTTCAATTTTATGACTAATGCACCATCGAATACCTTTCCTATGTGCAATTAGTTGAATAAAATTGTCAATCATCGATGTAAGAGAGTAATGAGCTGAGGAATCCAAACTGCTATGATTATCAGGAGGATTGAGTTCTGACTCTTGACAGTCTTCACTCTCTATAGTATTTTCTACATGCTCAATGGTCCTTATTATGTAGACAGGAATTTTTTTATCATTAGTGTCATGTTCAGGTGGAGTATAAATAATCTAGGGTTGTTTATGTAGCAAAGTTTGAATATTCAAGTGAAGTTGCCTGAGGTGGAGTAGTGACAAATGGAGCTAGTTGAGGGACAATATTTGGTTCAATTAAATAAAAATTGTTTGAAGTATCTTGAAAAAAATTTCAAATCTGATATTCCTTGAGTTCTCGTGAATTTTGGAATTAAGCAAAAAAGATTGATTGTCAAAGAATGTGACATCCATGGAGTCATATTATTCCTAGTAATTGTAGAGTAACATTTGTACCATTTTTTATTGGACGAGTAAATGAGAACAATACATATTAAACTTAAAATCAAGTTTGGTGTGGAGTTGTTGATGGATGTGAACAAAGGCAGAACAACCAAAAATCTTCAATGGTAAGCTAAAAAAACAACGGATGTGGGTAGGATTCCATGAAAACATTACGAGGAATTTGAAAATGTAGGACTCGACTAAGTATCCTATTGATGAAACATGTGGCTATGAGAATGCTTTCCACCTAAACATGTTTAGCACTTTATTAAACAACATAATAGCACAAGTCACCTCAAGTAATTGTCTATTTGTTCTTTCCGTGACCCCATTTGGATGAGGAGTATTCACAAAAAAAATTACATGATAATACCATGCTTGGACAGAGAATGACTTAAGATGGAATTAAAGTAATCCATAGAATTATCAGTCTTAATAATTTGAATTTTACTTTGGAATTGAGTGAGAATCATTATTATGAAAATGTTGAAATCAGATTTATCTTTCATAAGGAATGTCCATGTTCTTATGTCATCATCTAGGAATGATAAAAACCATTATGTCCATTTATATTATTACTTGTGAGGGTCCCCAAACATCAATATAAATTACAGAAAATGGATGTGAAGACTTGTATTGCAATTTCAAATATACATGTCTCATATGTTTTGCAAGTAAACAAGTTTCAAATCGATAAACATTGGATTTTTAAGTGATAAATAAATTTGGAAACATCTTTTACATATACGCAAAATTTGGATGATCAAGATAACAATGACTTAACATGACTTTCAACTGAAAAAAAATTTTGATTTGACTCAAAAATATAATTTGACAAATGACATTGCCTATATATGAAGTTATTTTCTTTGAGCAAGTATAAACCACCATGAATCTCAGCACTGTCAATCACATTGGCCCAATTCACAACCTGAAAATCACAACAATTAGAATAAAATTTAGTCACATATTTTTGGTCACGAGTAAATTTGTTGATTGAGAATAGATTGCAATTTAATTTTTGAACATAAAGCACAAAGTAAGGTGAAGATCCTTTGTCAATTCAACTGGTCTTGTTCCTACTCTTAGTGAGAACAAACAATCGGCTATTCAAACCGAATATTGATTGGTACAATGGTTGTAATTTTTTAAGACGTTGATGTCTCTAACCGTATAATCTGAGGCTCCGGAGTCAACTATCTAGAGTTTTAATTTATTGTTTTGGATGCTTATAGCATTGGATAAGATTCTTTGGTGTTCTAACAGGTTCATAGGTTGCTTGAGAAATGATTGTGATGTTTGTTCAGAACTAGAACAATTAGTAAACATTTTATGCAATGCCTCAATTAGCTCTATGGTGAACGAGCTAAATTTTAAATTTTTATTGAAAGATATGATGGGGACTGAAGATAGACTCGAATTTGGATGTGACTTATGTGGAAGAAGATTAAGAAGTCATACAATATTTGACCATGGTAAGATTATGAAGCTCAAATCGATAAGATCTATTGATCCAACGGAAGTGAGAGGAAGATCCTCAGTTTAATTGATCAATTGGACGAGCAAACAAAAACTGGAAAAAGAAGGTCCCTTATTTTGACTGTTCAATTGGATGACCAAACAGGAACTATAGGAGATGTGCAGCTCTCAGTTTTCACTCTTGATGATCAGACCTTTTTCAAGCCAGTGATCTATGATAGAAGATGGAGACGCAAAGAGGCCACGACAAGTTTAACCAGCACGAACTGAATCGTTTGTGGCTTTAGCTAACCAAAGATGATTGTTGGAACAAAGCTTCCTAGTCGAGTAGAAAAGAGGAACGACTGATGATCGAGTAGAAGGATTGAACAACCGATAAAGCACTGTGATCAAGATGATGCCGCTTGATATTGTGCGTGGAAGAGTTGACGACTAGCTGATATGCGGAAATTGAGGGATTCAAAGAGATTTGCAATCAATTGCATGAACTGAATCGTTTGTGGCTTTAGCGAACCAAAGATGATTGTTCGAAGGAAGCTTCCTAGTCAAGTAGAAGAGACAAACGACTGAATGAGTGTCGTTCTGATCGAGCAAAAGGGTTGAGCGATTGACAAAGCACTGTGATCGAGAGGACATCGCGCGATCTTGTGTGCGCAAGAGTTGAAGACTAGCTACTCAATGCAAATCGAAGGATTCGAACAAATTTGCAATGCATGAATGGAAGATTCGAACAATCTACTCGAACGCAAAAATTCAAGCAATAGAAGTATTGTGAAAGGAATAGAAGTAACACCACGAACGAGATGAGAGGATCTTGTGGTCTATCTTTCCTCTATATGTTCGAATGGAAGAGACGAGAACCCACATGACCTACAACGTGGCAAAAATCGAACGCGAGGTGCAGGCTCTCGTTAACAGAGACGAGCAGCCAAAAATCTCGACGCCATAACACGAAGAGGTTCCAGAAACTGTTTGAACGAAAATAATGGCGGCGATTTTCTCATTCAGAAGCTTGTGAGGCGAGAAATCTCTGATACCATGTAGAAATTCTAAAAAAAACTTTATTTATCTCTAACCTTCATGCATTAAGCTTTCATACATATATATAATAAAGAAAGGGAACCAAATAGGAATCCCTCCAAAATAAGAAAAGAACAAAGAAAAGAAAGTATCTAATAAAGGTAACACAATTAGTGAAATATATCCTAAGGATAGGAAATAAGTTCCCTCATAATGAGGATCGTCACTTTCCAATACAGATCAATGCATGTATCAATGTGTATATGTGCCATTCTATTTGTGCATTTTATTAAATTAGAAAAAGACTGAAATAGCATGAGGTATAATCAAAAAACACATTTATCTCAGGAGATACGTTACTATTAACATCTTCACCACAAGACTATTCTGAACATTTTGGATCAGCACTCCTTCCATTCACTATTTGTTCGGCAAACTAAAATTGACCATTATAATGCAAAAGCATCCAACAAAATGGAAATAATTCCTGGCATGCCATTAAACAAAGTTCTTATCCCTCTGCTTTTTCTCTGCTCCCTTCTGATGCTGAACAAAAATCTTACTTAATGAATCTTCAATAGACAGTTCAATACCGGTCAACAAGGTCTCAGCTTGAAGTATCCATGGATGCATACACACATATCACATGGGCACAGGCAAAATAATCAAAGAATGTGCACTTAGGAGCATCAGCGTGATTATTACCATAGCCACAAAGTTGGATAAATGGTCACAAAAACACAAGCATATCAGGGCATTTAATCCATCAAGGAAAAGAAAACACCTAGCATTCACAAGACATAATTAGGGACCATCAAAGGAATGCAACCTGTAACAGAAAAGCACTTGAGGTGTTGACAGCAAATAAGTTCTAACAAGAAATAGAGTCAAGTGACATGTATAACTTTAATGCATTCTAAGTCAGAGATCATACTTGGCGGGGAATCCAGTAACCACGCAGACAGATTTCTGGGGATCTGCTCAAAATGGATTTGATCAGTCAAAAACATGAGAAGCATGAGTGCAAATACGAGCACAAATTTGAATCAATGATCCATCTTAACAAGGCAACGGTACCTCTACTTCTTAATACGACTCTTATCTCTACATGGACAAGATTACATCAAATGTTACCAACATAGATCCAAACAAGTAGATATGATACAAATAAGTGGCACATTGAGATCAAGAGAAAACAAGAGTATGATTAGATCATCATCACCGTCATTATCATTAGTATTTCTCAACTTTGCAAAGAATGTTCAAATAGGTTTGCCAGGAAGAGAACAAAGACAAAAAGAAGAATATGTCTCTACATCTCTATATCTGTATGAATGACATGCCACAGAAAGTGCTAACATACACTTACAGGGAGCTGAGGATGTCCGAAGTTCTGATTTAAATGACGAACCTTTCATGAACTCTATAAATGATTTGCCTGAATGTTCAGATTTTACATGAAAAAACTGGGATTAAACTCAATAAGAAAGTTTAGCATTCCTAAACTTTAACAAGTAGTATAGAACTCCAAATACAAAGAAGAAAAATCAATGGCTATTAAACGAAGTAGTGCCATGTCAAACATTGAGTGCAAATATCAGCCAATTCTGAAAGTAAATAAATTGAAAGAATACACACCATTTCTTGAAGTAAATCTTATCTGAGGGCCTTCACATTCTGCTTTATGAACAACAGCCCTTTTCTTGACTTCTTCTTCCCTTGCCAAAACACGCTCCAAATTTCTCAAGTTCATAATCTCTATAAAATTTAATTATATGTCCGTGATTCAGAACTTTAAACAACTATATAAAGGTGAATTAATCTCCCATAATATTAGTGAAACATACCTGTTTGAGCTGCTTCCAGTAGCATTTCTTCTTGAGTCATTCTCTTCTCTTCACCTTCCTTTTTCCTCTTTATTGGCTGCAAACATGATATCATTCAAAATAAGATAATATCAATGACATCAAAAATAATTCAAAATAAGAGAACAAGTCAATTGCCAGGTAAATGAATGTAGAGTCCATTAGATAAGGAAACCATAGAGACAGATGCATGGCAACATAGGTTGCAAAACATAACTTGATGTAAAATCTACCATGAAACAATGTTGCGGCATGAGCATTGACTGGGACTGCATCATGTAATATGTTGCGGCATGCGTTGACTTGAACAGCATCATGTACTATGTTGCGACTTATGTCTAGTTGTATCAAGGGATACAACACAAGAAATCGTAACATATCTTGAATTGATGCATTTAATGAGAACTTAGCAGATTACTTCTCTCATTGCGATGGGTTAACATGATCGAAATGACTTTGAGTCGATGATGTGAAAGCTGGTGAATTTGAATTTGGCTCTCCTCTTAGCTCAAGCAATGATTTCCATGTGTGCCAAGAACAATTTCAAGTTGCTTCAACATTTTCATTGTTTTCTTCGATACTCTAGCCTCTCATTAGCATGAATTGTCCTTCTTTTCCTTTCATCTTTAGTGGATAGTGCATAAGAGGACAATATGAATTCTTTTCTTGGCTTAACCACTATTAAACAATATGAACTCCTCATTTTTAAATTTTCTTCCCAGCCAATCTTTAAGGCGTAGCAGTCTTAAATGAAATGGCTAAGTACATGATAATATAGACAATGACTTGGATTATTAGTCCAATCTGTTTCTTCAGGTTCTTTGCACCATGGAAGCTAAATAACTTCTAAGTGCTTGTAGAAATAATTTTGCCACACTATCTTTTTTAAGAAAATATTACTTATTCATCTTTTCTTTGAGGGGTAGATCGTGTATAATTTGGACAATCACCTTCACCAAGAGAGGTCTAGCATTTATCATTTCTTACCACTATCATCTTTCACTGCACAATGGGGCTGATTGGTTGCATTCTTTTTTCATCAATATAGATTGGTTACTTGCCTTATCAATGTTATAGATGACATGTTTCCTACATTAAAACTGAAAGAAGTGGTGTGATTCACTTCTTTTGAGGTCTCAGCTTCATTTTTATTAGATTTGTCTGATAGCCCTCAATGTAAGAAGTTTAACATCTCAAACCTAGCAACCATATCAAGTACCTTATGTAATATAGTAATAGAGGTCAAACATAAATAGGGAAACATTTTATCATTAATGTTGCTCATCAACAACTAAATTACATGCTAGTGTAATTGTTACTCATCTTTCATGCTTAAATTACACCAGCATGAGCTATATTTTGTTACATATTCCTCTCTTCTTCTCCTTTCCAAGACGATGTCTACAATAGTTGTCATCTCAATGGCACGGGCAAATCTCTTCACCACAATCTTTTCATGTTCGGCAAATGTATTAATGGAGTTATTGGGCAGGTTCGGGTACCATTCAGAAATAGTTCATAACAAACTATTACAGAACCAGATAAAGAGCAATTCATCATTGACCCCAACATTGCTACAAAATGCCTTAAAGTAGCCAAAGTGCTACATAGGATTGCAAGTATTGTTGAAAGTAATTAAATTTGGCACTAAACAATATTTTGGGTAAGACACCTGATCGTACTCAATTCGCTACAGGTAACCCTTTACTTACTAGTTTCTCAGCCTTTTAAAAATTTATGATAGCCTTAATCTTCCTTTTTAAAATTTATGATAGCTTTAATCTTTTTATTGATAATGATTTTAAGTTGTATTGCTATCAGAAGCATAGATGTACTTGTAATAATTTGAGGAATAGACAAACGAGTTAATTATCGTGTTTCATTCCTTCCTTAAGGTGTACCTCAAATTCTAGAAGCTTGATGTTATGGAATGGCTAGCAGATTGATAGGAGTGTTTTTAGAAGACTGATGTTGGCAGGTAGAGCACGTGCTAGATCTGTTACAACATTTTTTTGCATCATCTCCATTATGACATTCATCCATGCCATTATCTCATTTATCTTGTGCTGAGTTGGGAGGTATCTATCTTTTACTTTCATTTGCAAAATAAAAATGAGTTCATATTGTTTAAAGTTTAGGAATGCATAAGATGCATCTATCTTCCTGCCTATCAGGAGGTGCAACTGATTAAGGCTAAACGTCATTGCTTATTATAAAATGAAATAATGTCACGTTCATCCATGCCATTATCTCCTTTTCCTAACGTCATTGCTTATTATAAAATGAAATAATGTCACATTCATCCATGCCATTATCTCCTTTTCCTTTCATCTTTAGTGGATAGTGCATAAGATGCATCTATTTTGCTCTCAATTCAATTTGACGTCCAAAAATACCAGCTCTTCTCATTATTTCCTTTTTGCTCATTTTTAAAAACCCAAATGTTATTCTTCTTGCCTATCAGGAGGTGCAACTGATTAAGGCTAAACGGCATTGCTTATTATAAAAGCATATATCGGGATGGACATTAGTATGCTCTAAAATATAAGCCACTTCGACATTCATGGCGTCATTATCTTCTCCATTCTCTCTTGAACCAATGTTTTACAATGACATCTCTACTAGATCTACAATTCAAAAGATCGAGATTACAGTCATTGATCTTTCAAAGGTGGAATAATTAATTGGCAATGGGATCCTTTAAAGGATTCTTTAAAGTGTTGATCAGCATGAGGTTTTTTCATGGAAATCTTCTTCCAAACTCTTTCCTGGCAAATATTTTCAATGGAGAACTTTGGGAATGCAAACGGATATGACACCTTTTCTTCTCTCTATAAGTTTTATCTTCATGAGATTTCAGCATCCATATCTGCTTAACTTACGAAGATGGATTTCTAAAGATGTGATCCAAGTATCACGCGTTAGCGTTCACCATTTAAAGCTTGTTTGGATTTGCTTTATCACAGCAAATGATAGCTTCTTGGTTGAAGCTCTATTGGTCTCAACTACAATATTCTTTTTGTACTGTCTCTTCATTAAACCCCTCTCGTTGGCAACCTTCAAAACTCTATACACTTGAAAGTAGATAGAATTTCAAGTTTCTTCTTCTCAATCGAAAGGCATTGGTGTTGGTGAGGCAAGAAAAATTGCTTTATATCATCAATAAAATTATTTCCTTTCTAAACGTCAAAATTTCAAATTTATTGTGGATGAAAATACTCACTTCCTGCCCCAAGCCATGTAGAGCAACGGATTGCTTGGACAACAATTATTGAGCCCTCAATTTAATTTTTTATTTCTTTTCAATCTACTGGACAATTTTTCTCCAGAAGAAGAAGCGTCATTATCATGTCTCCATTGCTAGAAAGGCTGAGTAGGCAAAGTAATGAGTTATTGACAAGCACTAGAGATTATTTGTATGGTGGAAATCCTCTTCAATTCAACAACAATAACAACTTTAGTAGACTTGGTTGAAGCAATTTAATGGGACAACGTGAACAAGCATACCATGGATTGGCACGGTGGCAGCCAAGATTTAAAAAGGTTGAAATAAAGAACTAAGTCATTATGCCTTAGCAAGGCAAGGCATGGCCTCGAGGCTGACTTAGACGTAAGCATCAAAATAGAAAATTTTAAAACTCATAAAAATATACATAATTAATAAATATGACAAACTATCAGCATATTTATTTATTTCATTAATATAAAGACATGACTCACAAATCTTAAACTCAAATTTTAATATAAAACAAACTTTTGAAACAAGATTTAAATTACACACAAATTTTAATATGACACTAGTATCAAGATCCAAACTTGCTTCATCATCATTTTTGGAAAAAACATCATGTGTAATTAACTTCATTCTCCTCTGATTCTGCCTCATCATTAACTTCAAAATCAAATTTCATTATTATATCTTTCATATTACTCCCTAAATCAATTATTAATAAATGTGATATAATTTTAAACAAAATAAATTAGTAACACATCAAAATATTCCAGTATGCTTAAATTAGATTTTAACTTTTTTTAAACTCCAACCCCACATTGCTTCTTTCTTTTAAATGATTGAGGTGAAAATGGCTCCAAATTCAATGGTATTTCAGTCCCTTTCAAGGTTAGCATTGATATCTTCACAATGATCATCATTAAAAGGTATTCCTTCACCTTTAAATTCAAATATTTCCTTATTACTTGGCATTATTCATTTATCATCAGATAATATATCTTCAACAACCAAAAGATCCATTCCATCAGTATCATTTCTTTATTTTGTAACATCATGTGTCGATCAATTTTTAATTGAACATAACATAAACTTACTCATTTATTCTGTAGTCAATAGGTTCCTCCTCTCTGTATGCATTTGATTAAATATGCTTCAATTTCGATCACATGTGAAAGTTCAATAAGTATGACTAAGAACTTTCACCATAATACTTTCAGTTCAATCAAATCATCTCTAAATTGTGTGACCAACGTTCTAGAATAAAATAAAAATAAAATTTTTAACATATATTAAGGTAGGAAGGTTAGAAATGAACCATAATCTTATTGATTTAAAATTATAGGTAAATCAAACTTACAAGGTAAGTATGCCTTATAATATTCTTGAGTTATTTTAGGCCTAAACATTTCATTCTTTAAATAAAAATCTTCGAATTGATCATTTTAAAGAGTTATTTTAGGCCTAAACATTTCATTCTTTAAATAAAAATCTTCGAATTGATCATTATCTTTAAAATAATCAGCCTCAATGACAAGCCTATCAATGAAAGTATATAAATTTGTCTTAACATCCTTATCGACGTCAAAATCCTTAGCATAACAAATCTAGGAAGTTAAAATTTTTGGCAACAAGCAAATAAGGTAGCTAACAATCCCATTTCATATCAATAATTTCCCCTATATTTTTATAAGTAACTTATTGTCTTTTTAAATCCTTTGCCATTTTCTTTTGCATTGCTCATAACTTGATAGATAAATCTCATAACTGGAGCCCCTTTATCATCAACAACGAATAAAATCTTTACTAAAAGCCTCATATTTTTTACA